ACGGAGTCCTGGTTATCCTGGTACACGGGGTCCTGGAGATCCAGGTACACGGGGTCCTAGAGATCTTGGTACACGGGGTCCCTGAGGTGCAGGTACACGGGGTCCTGTAGATCCTGGTACACAGGGTCCTAGAGATCCTGGTACACGGGGTTCTGGAGATCCTGGTACACGGGGTCTTGGAGATCCTGATACACGGGGTCCTACATATATTGGTACACGGGGTCATAGAGATCCTGACACACGGGGTCCTAGAGATCCTGGTACACGGGGTCCTAGAGATCCTGGTTACACGGGGTCCTAGAGATCCTGGTACACGGGGTCTTAGAGATCCTGGTACATGGGGTCCTAGATATCCTGGTACACGGGGTGCTAGAGTTACTGGTACACGAGGTCCTAGAGATCCTGGTACACGGGGTTCTAGAGATCCTGGTACACGGGGTCCTAGAGTTCTTGGTACACGGGGTCCTGGAGATCCTGATACACGGGGTCCTGGAGATCCTGGAACACGGGGTCCTAGAGATCCTGGTACACGGAGTCCTAGAGATCCTGGTACACGGGGTTCTGGAGATCCTGGTACACGGGGTCCTAGATATCCTGGTACACGGGGTCTTGGAGATCCTGGTACACGGGGTCCTGGAGATCCTGGTACACGGGGTCCTAGAGATCCTGGTACACAGGGTCCTGGAGATCCTGGTACACGGGGTCCTAGAGATCCTGGTACACGGGGTCCTTGAGACGCGGGTACACAGGGTCCTAGAGATCCTGGTACATGGGGTCCTAGAGATCCTGGTACACGGGGTCCTAGAGATCCTGGTACACGGGGTCCTGGAGACGCGGGTACACAGGGTCCTAGAGATCCTGGTACACGGGGTCCTAGAGATCCTGGTACACGGGGTCCTAGAGATCCTGGTACATGGGGTCCTAGAGATCCTGGTACACGGGGTCGTAGAGATCCTGGTACACGGGGTCCTGGAGATCCTGGTACACGGGGTTCTAGAGATCCTGGTACACGGGGTCCTGGAGATCCTGGTACACAGGGTCCTAGATATCCTGGTACACGGGGTCCTAGAGATCCTGGTACACGGGGTCCTGGAGATCCTGGTACACGGGGTCCTAGAGATCCTGGTACACGGGGTCCTGGAGACGCGGGTACACAGGGTCCTAGAGATCCTGGTACACGGGGTCCTAGAGATCCTGGTACACGGGGTCCTAGAGATCCTGGTACACGGGGTCCTAGAGATCCTGGTACACGGGGTCCTAGAGATCCTGGTACACGGGGTCCTAGAGATCCTGGTACACGGGGTCCTGGAGATCCTGGTACACGGGGTCCTAGAGATCCTGGTACACGGGGTCCTAGAGATCCTGGTACACGGGATCCTAGAGATCCTGGAACACGGGGTCCTGGAGATCCTGGTACACGGGGTCCTAGAGATCCTGGTACACGGGGTCCTGGAGACGCGGGTACACAGGGTCATAGAGATCCTGGTACACGGGGTCCTAGAGATCCTGGTACACGGGGTCCTAGAGATCCTGGGACACGGGGTCTAGGAGATCCTGATACACGGGTCCTTGAGATCCTGGTACACGGGGTCCTAGAGATCGTGGTACACGGGGTCCTAGAGATCCTGGGACACGGGGTCTTGGAGATCCTGGTGCACGGGGTTCTAGTGATCCTGGTACATGGGGTCCTAGAGATCCTGGTACACGGGGTCCTAGAGATCCTGGTACACGGGGTCCTGGAGATCCTGGTACACGGGGTCCTAGAGATCCTGGTGCACGGGGTCCTAGAAATCCTGGTACACGGGGTCCTAGAGATCCTGGGACACGGGGTCTTGGAGATCCTGATACACGGGGTCCTACATATATTGGTACACGGGGTCATAGAGATCCTGACACACGGAGTCCTAGAGATCCTGGTACATGGGGTTCTGGAGATCCTGGTACACGGGGTCCTAGATATCCTGGTACCCGGGGTCTTGGAGATCCTGGTACACGGGGTCCTAGAGATCCTGGTACACGGGGTCCTAGAGATCCTGGTACACGGAGTCCTGGAGATCCTGCTACACGGGGTCCTAGAGATCCTGGTACACGGGGGTCTTAGAGATCCTGGTACACGGGGTCCTAGAGATCCTGGGACACGGGGTCTTGGAGATCCTGATACACGGGGTCCTAGAGATCTTGGTACACGGGGTCCTAGAGATCCTGGCACACGGGGTCCTAGAGATCCTGGTACACGGGGTCCTAGAAATCCTGGTTACACGGGGTCCTAGAGATCCTCGTACACGGGGTCCTAGAGATCCTGGTACACGGGGTCCTAGATATCCTGGTACACGGGGTGCTATAGTTACTGGTACACGAGGTCCTAGAGATCCTGGTACACGGGGTTCTAGAGATCCTGGTACACGGGGTCCTAGAGTTCTTGGTACACGGGGTCTTGGAGATCCTGCGACACGGGGTCCTGGAGATCCTGGTACACGGGGTCCTAAGATCCTGGTACACGGCGTCCTAGAGATCCTGGTACACGGGGTTCTGGAGATCCTGGTACACGGGGTCCTAGAGATCCTGGTACAGGGGTCTTGGAGATCCTGGTACACGGGGTCCTAGAGATCCTGGTACACGGGGTCCTGGACATCCTGGCACACGGGGTCCTAGAGATCCTGGTACACGGGGTCCTAGAGATGCTGGTACACGGGGTCCGAGAGATCCTGGTACATGGGGTCCTAGAGATCCTGGTACACGGGGTCCTAGAGATCCTGGTACACGGGGTCCTGGAGATCCTGGTACACGGGGTCCTGGAGATCCTGGTACACAGGGTCCTAGAGATCCTGGTACACGGGGTCCTGGAGATCCTGGTACACGGGGTCCTGGAGATCCTGGTACACGGGGTCCTAGAGATCCTGGTACACAGGGTCCTGGAGATCCTGGTAGACGGAGTCCTGGTTATCCTGGTACACGGGGTCCTGGAGATCCAGGTACACGGGGTCCTAGAGATCTTGGTACACGGGGTCCCTGAGGTGCAGGTACACGGGGTCCTGTAGATCCTGGTACACAGGGTCCTAGAGATCCTGGTACACGGGGTTCTGGAGATCCTGGTACACGGGGTCTTGGAGATCCTGATACACGGGGTCCTACATATATTGGTACACGGGGTCATAGAGATCCTGACACACGGGGTCCTAGAGATCCTGGTACACGGGGTCCTAGAGATCCTGGTACACGGGGTCCTAGATATCCTGGTACACGGGGTGCTAGAGTTACTGGTACACGAGGTCCTAGAGATCCTGGTACACGGGGTTCTAGAGATCCTGGTACACGGGGTCCTAGAGTTCTTGGTACACGGGGTCCTGGAGATCCTGATACACGGGGTCCTGGAGATCCTGGAACACGGGGTCCTAGAGATCCTGGTACACGGAGTCCTAGAGATCCTGGTACACGGGGTTCTGGAGATCCTGGTACACGGGGTCCTAGATATCCTGGTACACGGGGTCTTGGAGATCCTGGTACACGGGGTCCTAGAGATCCTGGTACACGGGGTCCTAGAGATCCTGGTACACGGAGTCCTGGAGATCCTGGTACACGGGGTCCTAGAGATCCTGGTACACGGGGGTCCTAGAGATCCTGGTACACGGGGTCCTAGAGATCCTGGGACACGGGGTCTTGGAGATCCTGATACACGGGGTCCTAGAGATCTTGGTACACGGGGTCCTAGAGATCCTGGCACACGGGGTCCTAGAGATCCTGGTACACGGGGTCCTAGAAATCCTGGTTACACGGGGTCCTAGAGATCCTGGTACACGGGGTCCTAGAGATCCTGGTACACGGGGTCCTAGATATCCTGGTACACGGGGTGCTAGAGTTACTGGTACACGAGGTCCTAGAGATCCTGGTACACGGGGTTCTAGAGATCCTGGTACACGGGGTCCTAGAGTTCTTGGTACACGGGGTCCTGGAGATCCTGCGACACGGGGTCCTGGAGATCCTGGTACACGGGGTCCTAAGATCCTGGTACACGGGGTCCTAGAGATCCTGGTACACGGGGTTCTGGAGATCCTGGTACACGGGGTCCTAGAGATCCTGGTACAGGGGGTCTTGGAGATCCTGGTACATGGGGTCCTAGAGATCCTGGTACACGGGGTCCTGGACATCCTGGCACACGGGGTCCTAGAGATCCTGGTACACGGGGTCCTAGAGATGCTGGTACACGGGGTCCGAGAGATCCTGGTACACGGGGTCCTAGAGATCCTGGTACACGGGGTCCTAGAGATCCTGGTACACGGGGTCCTGGAGATCCTGGCACACGGGGTCCTGGAGATCCTGGTATACGGGGTCCTAGAGATCCTGGTACACGGGGTCCTGGAGATCCTGGTACACGGGGTCCTGGAGATCCTGGTACACGGGGTCCTAGAGATCCTGGTACACAGGGTCCTGGAGATCCTGGTACACGGAGTCCTGGAGATCCTGGTACACGGGGTCCTGGAGATCCAGGTACACGGGGTCCTAGAGATCTTGGTACACGGGGTCCCTGAGGTGCAGGTACACGGGGTCCTGTAGATCCTGGTACACAGGGTCCTAGAGATCCTGGTACACAGGGTCCTAGAGATCCTGGTACACGGGGTCCTAGAGATCCTGGTACACAGGGTCCTAGAGATCCTGGTACACGGGGTCCTGGAGATCCTGGTACACGGGGTCCTAGAGATCCTGGTACACAGGGTCCTGGAGATCCAGGTACACGGGTCCTAGAGATCCTGGTACATGGGGTCCTAGAGATCCTGGTACATGGGGTCCTAGAGATCCTGGTACACGGGGTCCTAGAGATCCTGGTACACGGGGTCCTGGAGACGCGGGTACACAGGGTCCTAGAGATCCTGGTACATGGGGTCCTAGAGATCCTGGTACATGGGGTCCTAGAGATCCTGGTACACGGGGTCCTAGAGATCCTGGTACACGGGGTCCTGGAGACCCCGTGAGGGAGCAGGGGGTGACGCGTTCCCTCTCTGCAGCCGGAACTGCGCCGAGCAGAACTCATCCGCCTCGCAGAGCCTGGGGAACATCGACTGGTGGGTCCCCCCTTACCCCCACCACCCCTACCCCGGTACCCCCACCCCCCTATCCCAAACCCCCACCACGACACCACCCATACCGCTAACCTCGACACTCCACTACAGCTGATGCTACCACGGCTGCTATACCAAATACGAACACTCCCCCTAACACTCCCCCTAACACTCCCCCTAACACTTCCCCTAACACTCCCCCTAACACTCCCCCTAACACTCCCCCCAACACTCCCCCTAACACTCCCCCTAACACTCCCCCTAACACTCCCCCTAACACTCCCCCTAACACTCCCCCTAACACTCCCCCTAACACTCCCCCTAACACTCCCCCTAACAGACCCCCTAACACTCCCCCTAACACTCCCCCTAACACTCCCCCTAACACTCCCCCTAACACTCCCCCTAACACTCCCCCTAACACCACCCCTAACAGACCCCTAACACTCCCCCTAACACTCCCCCTAACACTCCCCCTAACACTCCCCCTAACACTCCCCCTAACACTCCCCCTAACACTTCCCCTAACACTCCCCCTAACACTCCCCCTAACACTCCCCCTAACACTCCCCCTAACACGACCCCTAACACCACCCCTAACAGACCCCTAACACTCCCCCTAACACTCCCCCTAACACTCCCCCTAACACGACCCCTAACACCACCTCTAACAGACCCCTAACATTCCCCCTAACACTCCCCCTAACACTCCCCCTAACACTACCGCTAACACGACCCCTAACACTCCCCCTAACACTCCCCCTAACACGACCCCTAACACGACCCCTAACACTCCCCCTAACACTCCCCCTAACACGACCCCTAACACGACCCCTAACACCACCCCTAATACGACCCCTAACACCACCCCTAATACGACTCCTAACACGACCCCTAACACTCCCCCTAACACTCCCCCTAACACTTCCCCTAACACTCCCCCTAACACTCCCCCTAACACTCCCCCTAACACGACCCCTAACACCACCCCTAACACCACCCCTAACAGACCCCTAACACTCCCCCTAACACTCCCCCTAACACTCCCCCTAACACTCCCCCTAACACGACCCCTAACACCACCTCTAACAGACCCCTAACACTCCCCCTAACACTCCCCCTAACACTCCCCCTAACACGACCGCTAACACGACCCCTAACACTCCCCCTAACACTCCCCCTAACACGACCCCTAACACGACCCCTAACACTCCCCCTAACACTCCCCCTAACACGACCCCTAACACGACCCCTAACACCACCCCTAATACGACCCCTAACACCACCCCTAATACGACTCCTAACACGACCCCCTACCACGACCCCTAACACCACCCCTAACACGATCTCAAACACGACCCCTAACACCACCCCTAACACTCCCCCTAACACGACCTCTAAGACGACCCCTAAGACGACCCCTAACACGACCCCTAACACGACCCCCAACACGACCTCTAACACGACCCCTAACACGACCCCTAACACGACCCCTAATACGACCCCTAACACCACCCCTAACACGACCCCTAACAAGACCCCTAAGACCACCCCTAACACGACCCCTAACACGACCCCCAACACGACCCCTAACACGACCCCCAACACGACCCCTAACACGACCCCCAACACGACCCCTAACACGACCCCCAACACGACCCCTAACACGACCCCTAACACGACCCCCAACACTCCCCCTAACACTCCCCCTAACACGACCCCTAACACGACCCCTAACACTCCCCCTAACACGACCCCTAACACGACCCCTAACACGACCCCTAACACCACCCCTAATACGACCCCTAACACCACCCCTAATACGACTCCTAACACGACCCCCTACCACGACCCCTAACACCACCCCTAACACGATCTCAAAGACGACCCCTAACACCACCCCTAACACTCCCCCTAACACGACCCCTAATACGACCCCTAAGACGACCCCTAACACGACCCCTAACACGACCCCTAACACGACCTCTAACACGACCCCTAATACGACCCCTAAGACGACCCCTAAGACGACCCCTAACACGACCCCTAACACGACCCCCAACACGACCTCTAACACGACCCCTAACACGACCCCTAACACGACCCCTAATACGACCCCTAACACCACCCCTAACACGACCCCTAACAAGACCCCTAAGACCACCCCTAACACGACCCCTAACACGACCCCTAACACGACCCCTAACACGACCCCCAACACGACCCCCAACACGACCCCTAACACGACCCCTAACACGACCCCCAACACGACCCCTAACACGACCCCTAACACGACCCCTAACACGACCCCCAACACGACCCCTAACACGACCCCCAACACGACCCCTAACACGACCCCCAACACGACCCCTAACACGACCCCCAACACGACCCCTAACACGACCCCTAACACGACCTCTAAGACGACCCCTAAGACGACCCCTAAGACGACGCCTAACACGACCCCTAACACGACCCCTAACACGACCCCTAACACGACCCCTAACACGACCCCTAACACGACCCCCAACACGACCCCTAACACGACCCCCAACACGACCCCTAACACGACCCCTAACACGACCCCTAACACGACCTCTAAGACGACCCCTAAGACGACCCCTAAGACGACGCCTAACACGACCCCCAACACGACCCCTAATACGACCCCTAACACGACCCCTAACACGACCTCTAAGACGACCCCTAAGACGACCCCTAAGACGACGCCTAACACGACCCCCAACACGACCCCTAACACGACCCCTAACACGACCCCTAAGACGACCCCCAACACGACCCCTAACACAACCCCTAAGACGACCCCCAACACGACCCCTAACACGACCCCCAACACGACCCCTAACACGACCCCTAACACGACCCCTAAGACGACCCCCAACACGACCCCTAACACGACCCCCAACACGACTCCTAATACGACCCCTAACACGACCCCTACATCCAACCCCAACCGGCTCAGCGGTAGAGTGAGCGGCTCGCAATTGGAAGGTCGCGAGTTAAAATCTCGGGGGTCGATCAAATTAGGATCGCTTTGTAGGGAAGTCAACAGTGGTTGTTTATGCAGAGACTCGGCCCTGCCACCGGAATGTCGAATGTCCACCAGTGGATGTGCAGGAAATCACTTCAACCCCCAGGACTGCCCCCAACCTGAACCCCTAGCCCCACCACCACCCCTCTAACCCAACCACTGTCCCTTCCCTCCCTCCCAGGTATCCAATCATCTGGGTCAACCGAGGACATTCCCTGTGGGCACTACAGGTGAGGAGGCCGTCACCTCACCCCACCCCTCGTCCCTTTCCCCCACCCTCGTTAGCCTTGTACAGGTGAGCAAGAGCCCCTTGCAGGTTCGTGTTGAGTTGAAAGACGGAGGCTAAATCCCCTGTTGACTCACCGCCCTGTTCCCCTGCCCCCTGTCTCCGTCTCGCCATGTCCCCCGTGTCCCCATGTCCCCCGTGTCCCCATGTCCCCGTTCTCACCTCCAGGTGTCGGTGGCTGTCGTGAGCTTCATGGAGGCCATGCTGCTCATGTACCTGAGCTACAAGGTGAGTAGGAGACGCGTGACGCGTGGCGGCAAGTGCTGTTAGCAAGCACAGATTAAGGCCGGCAAGGAGCACGAGGAGATGGTGTGACCGTGACGGTGTGACAGAGAATGCTGAAGGCTCACCACGTGCTCTGGTCTCTTCTCCCCAAGGGGAACGTCTGGGAGCAGATCTTCCGAGTGACCTTCATCCTGGAGATGACCACCTCGGTGCCCTTCATTATCACCGTACGTGAGCACCACCCGGTGGTGCCATGGAGGCATCTCCTCGCGTCATCACCTCTTCTCATCACCTCCACGCGTCATCATCTCGTGTCACCTTCATCATAATCATCTTCATCATCATCTTCCCACAGTGTAAGCATCTCGCAATGGACATCATCTCTGCCGCAGATATTTTGGCCGCCTCTCCGGAATCTGTTCGTGCCAGTCTTTCTCAACTGCTGGCTGGCGAAGCACGCGCTCGAGAGCATGATCGTGAGTGGCGCGTCCCAGCCAACGTGCACACTTCAGCCCCGTCCGCCCGTGTCCGTCCGTAATGGGAGTCACCCGAATTATGACCACAACAATACAATACGAACCAAACGTTCGTGTACATCTCAACCTTCCATGGGCTAGCCCCGCCTCTCCCCACAAGCTCCACACACCCACATTGACCAGCGTGGTGAAGTATGGTCGAGCAATCCAGAGGCGTTTATCCAGCAGTGGATCTACAAATGGGCCATAAATGAAATGAATAAACCTGTCACTGAGGCATACGGCTTCAGCCTCACTGTGCAGCAGCAATGCAGCAGCAACAGCTGTGGACACACAGCTGTGTGTCAGCAGCAACTGACACACAGCAGGAACCTGGGGTTGACGTCACCGAGGTCCGGGACCTTGGGGCCATCGGCCCGGTTCGCTTCTGCCGCTGATAATGTTGCTGCTGTTGTGCTGCTGCTGTGCTGCTGCTGCTGCTGTGCTGCTGCTGCCGCAGAACGACCTGCACCGCGCCATCCAGCGCACGCAGTCGGCCATGTTCACCCAGGTGCTCATCCTCTTCTGCACGTTGCTTTGCCTCGTGTTCACCAGGTGAATACCGCGCCACCCGGCACACCACATCCAACACACCCGCTCGCTACGGCTGCTGTGGCTACTAGGTCACGTGCCCTCCCAGCCTCGCCCCCATTGACCCCCCCCGCCCCCCCCAGCATGTGTGGGATCCAGCACCTGGAGCGCGCGGGCGGTCAGCTGACCCTGTTCGACTCGCTCTACTTCTGTGTGGTCACCTTCTCCACCGTGGGCTACGGGGACGTCACGCCCCAGGTGTGGCTTTCCCAGCTGCTCGTCGTCGTCATGATCTGCGTGGCGCTCGTCGCGCTGCCCATACAGGTGAGCGCTTCACCTGCGCAGGCGCGCCCAGGCGAGACCAGGGCAGCACAGGTGACCCCTGGTGTTGTGTAACCTCGCCCCGTGCCCCCCACAGTTCGAGCAGCTGGCGTACCTGTGGGTGGAGCGCCAGAAGTGCGGAGGCCACTACAGCCGGCACCGCGCGCGCACCGAGCAGCACGTGGTGCTGTGCGTCTCCTGCGTCTCCAGCGACGTCCTCATGGACTTCCTCAGCGAGTTCTACGCCCACCCGCGCCTGCAGGTGGGGCCGGGCCGGGGGCAGGGCCGGGGCAGGGCCAAGGGCACGGGTGAGGACAGGGCTAGCGGCAAGGCCAAGGGCAAGGGCAGGAGCAATGGGGAGGAGTTGGCATGCGCCCTGCCTATGGCACAGTTGTGTCCTACTACGTGTCTCCAGGGAGACACACGTGACCCTCTGTCCCCTCGTATCTGCTTGTGTCTCCATGTCCCCTCGTGTCCTCGTGTGTCTCCGTGTCCCCTTGCGTCCCCGTGCCCCCGTGTCCCTAGGGCTGCTATGTGGTAGTGCTGTGCCCCGCGGATATGGACGCCCAGGTTCGCCGCCTGCTGCAGGTGCCGCTATGGGCGCAGCGCGTGATCTACCTGCAGGGATCGGCGCTCAAGGACACCGACCTCCTGCGCGCCAAGTACGCACCTGCCTACCGGGTGACTGAGCTGCCTACCGGGTGACTGAGCTGCCTACCGGGTGACTGAGCTGCCTACCGGGTGACTGAGCTGCCTACCGGGTGACTGAGCTGCCTACCGGGTGACTGAGCTGCCTACCGGGTGACTGAGCTGCCTACCGAGTGACTGAGCTGGCTACCGGGTGATTGAGCTGCCTACCGGGTGACTGAGCTGCCTACCGGGTGACTGAGCTGCCTACCGGGTGACTGAGCTGCCTACCGAGTCATTGAGCTAGCTACCGCGTGACTCAGCTGCCTACCGAGTGACTGAGCTGCCTGCTGGGTGACTGAGCTGGCTGCCGGGTGACTGAACTGGGTGCAGGGTGACTGGACTGGGTACCGGGTGACTGAACTGGGTGCCGGGTGACTGAACTGGGTGCCGGGTGATTGGACTGGGTGCCGGGTGACTGAACTGGGTGCCGGGTGATTGGACTGGGTGCCGGGTGATTGGACTGGGTGCCGGGTGACTGGACTGGGTGCCGGGTGACTGAACTGGGTGCCGGGTGATTGGACTGGGTGCCGGGTGATTGGACTGGGTGCCGGGTGACTGAACTGGGTGCGGGGTGAGTCAACTGGGTGCCGGGTGACTGAACTGGGTGCCGGGCGACTGAACTGGGTGCCGGGTGACTGGACTGGGTGCCGGGTGACTGGACTGGCTGCCGGGTGATTTGACTGGGTGCCGGGTGACTGAGCTGGCTGCTGGGTGACTAAACTGGGTGCTGGGTGACTGAACTGGCTGCCGGGTGACTGGACTGGGTGCCGGGTGATTTGACTGGGTGCCGGGTGACTGAGCTGGCTGCTGGGTGACTGGACTGGGTGCCGGGTGACTGAACTGGCTGCTGGGTGACTGAACTGGGTGCTGGGTGACTGAACTGGCTGCCGGGTGACTGGACTGGGTGCCGGGTGATTTGACTGGGTGCCGGGTGACTGAGCTGGCTGCTGGGTGACTGGACTGGGTGCCGGGTGATTGGATTGGGTGCCGGGTGACTGAGCTGGCTGCCGGGTGACTGAACTGGGTGCCGGGTGACTGAGCTGGCTGCCGGGTGACTGAACTGGGTGCCGGGTGACTGAACTGGGTGCCGGGTGACTGAGCTGGCTGCTGGGTGATTGGACTGGGTGCCGGGTGACTGAGCTGGCTGCCGGGTGACTGAACTGGGTGCCTGGTGACTGAACTGGGTGCCGGGTGACTGAGCTGGCTGCCGGGTGACTGAACTGGGTGCCGGGTGACTGAACTGGCTGCCGGGTGATTGGACTGGCTGCCGGGTGGCTGAGCTGGCTGCCGGGTGACTGAGCTGGCTGCCGGGTGACTGAACTGGGTGCCGGGTGACTGAGCTGGCTGCCGGGTGACTGAGCTGGCTGCCGGGTGACTGAGCTGGCTGCCGGGTGACCGGACTGGGTAGCATCACCCTGCTCCCACCTCCAACTTTCTCCCTTTCTGCTGCCGTCCCCCCCAGGATGGACGATGCCGAGGCGTGCTTCATCCTCAGCAGTCGCAACGAAGCGGACCGCATGGCCGCGGTGAGGAGTCGCGCTCCTATAACTGCGAGATCCGTGCCGCGTGTTCCGCGCCGCGTAATCCGCGCCGCTCGTCTCTGTCCCCAGGACCACCAGACGATTCTGCGCGCCTGGGCCGTCAAGGATTTTGCCCCGAACTGTCCTCTCTACGTGCAGATCCTCAAACCAGAGAACAAGTTCCACGTCAAGTTCGCAAGTGGGACACGCGGACACACGGGGCACGCAGGGATACAGGGAGACACGTGGAGAGGGACACGGAGACACGGGGGCACACGGGGACATAGAGAGACATGGGCACACAGGGACTCGGCGACCAATCAGCGGAGACTGCCGTGAATATGGGATGCGGTGGATGCGCAGCGTAGAGTGGTTGATGATGAGTAGTGCGGTGGTTGGTCTTGCTGGTATAGTGGGGGTGTGGAGTGGTTGTGGTGGTTGTGGTGGTCCGTGCCCCGTGCTGCGCAGACCACGTGCTGTGCGAGGAGGAGTTCAAGTTCGCGATGCTGGCACTCAACTGCGTGTGCCCGGCCACCTCCACGCTCATCACCCTGCTGGTGCACACCTCGCGCGCCCAGTGAGTGCCGCTCCCTGCTCCCCACTCCACAGCACTGTTCACCGCACCACGCACCACACTACCGCACCACGCACCGTACCACACCACATACTGAACCACCACACACCACACCACCACGCCACACACCGAAGCACACCACATTCCGAACCACTGCACCACACACCGAACCACCACCACACCACACACCGAACCACCACACCAAACCGCACCTCCACATCATCTTGACGTGGCCCAGCAGTGGCGGGTTCGCCACTCGCTGCAGAGGTTCGCGGTTCGAATCTAGTGGATGTGCCCTGGCAAACACAAACATCTCCCGTGTAGCTTTTAACGGGGTGTTGGGGAAAGTGCTGTTAGCGAGCACCGAATAAGGCCAGGACAGCACACGAGGAGGTGGGTGGCCAGCACCACGCCCGGCCGCAGTTGTTTTCCCAGTATCGATGTTTACACACTGCACCAGGTACTCATTTGAGTCTGAGTCGACCTAGGGGATATCCAGGACCTGTTGAGATATTCGTCACTGATATTGGTCGTGAGCCGGGTTCATGGTGCAGCGCGCTCACCGCGATGCCACCGCCCCCCACTGGGCCACACACGCGCACTGCTGGCACAGCGTGCTGCGGTTGTGAGCAGTGCCACCGGGGGGTGCCGAGAGGCCGATGCCAATCAATTGTTATCTCCACGGCGCTCACGGCCTCGGCAGTGCCCAACGAGGGCTCTGGACGCGTGCGAGGGGTTGGTGACTCCTCCACCTTCGATTTTAAACGCGGCCAAAGCGAGGTGGCGCAGTGGGAGCAGAGGTGGTGGTGCATCTGCCGGTCATCTCAATCAACCCGTAAACAGTTGGGTCTGTCCCGTGACCTACCAGCAGCGAGCCTTCCACACTCCACGTGACGCCCTCAAAGTAGACCTAGCCTGGCACACGTGCTGGGAATGGCAGCTATTGGTTGTGGTTGTTGTGAGTGCAGGGAAAAGCCCCGGCAGCAGCAGCCGCCACCGTCCGCATGGAAGCGGTGAGGCATGCACACTCCACACCCCCTACACACACTCACTCGCTCACCCACATACCTACCCACTCTCCCACTCGCTCACCCACCCACTCTCCCACTCGCTCACCTACCCACTCTCCCACTCGCTCACCCACCCACTCTCCCACTCGCTCACCTACCCACTCTCCCACTTGCTCACCTACCCACTCTCCCACTCGCTCACCCACCCGCTCTCCCACCCACTCTCCCACTCGCTCACCTACCCACTCTCTCACTCGCTCACCCACCCACTCTCCCACTCGCTCACCTACCCACTCTCCCACTCGCTCACTCACCCACTCTCCCACTCGATCACCTACCCACTCTCCCACTTGCTCACCTACCCACTCTCCCACTCGCTCACCCACCCGCTCTCCCACTCGCTCACCCACTCGGTCACCCACTCGGTCACCCACCCGCTCTCCCACCCACTCTCCCACTCGCTCACCCACCCACTCTCCCACTCGCTCACCCACCTGCTCTCCCACTCGCTCACCCACTCGGTCACCTACTCGGTCACCCACCCGCTCTCCCACCCACTCTCCCACTCGCTCACCCACCCACTCTCCCACTCGCTCACCCACTCGGTCACCCACCCGCTCTCCCACTCGCTCTCCCACTCGCTCACCGACCCACTCTCCCACTCGCTCACCCACCCGCTCACCCACTCTCTCTCCAACTCGCTCACCCACCCGCTCTCCCACTCGCTCTCCCACTCGCTCACCCACTCGCTCTCCCACTCGCTCACCCACCCACTCTCCCACTCGCTCACCCAGCCACTCTCCCACTCGCTCACCCACCCACTCACCCACCCACTCTCCCACTCGCTCACCCACCCACTCTCCCACTCGCTCACCCACCCACTCTCCACTCAGGGCACGCCAACAGCAGCAGCAGGAGGAGGAGGAGCCGCCCGTGCGCCACTGGCCCTGGGTGTACGGGCGCGGCGCGGCGCGCGAGGTGCTGCACGCGCGCCTCGCCGACAGCGCGGCGCTGGCGCGGCTCGCGGGGCGCAGCTTCACGATGGCCTGCTGGCAGGCGCACTCGAGGCAGGTGGGGGTCCGGGGGGGTGGCAGCCCCTTCGGGCCCCCGTCCCCGCTTCTCGAGACCCCCGTAACCCCCTCGCTGTGCCTTCCAGACCCCCTCGTTATAGATTCAGGATCCCAGCCTCCAGTCCCATTTCTCTCGATCCTTAATCCCACATCTCTTTGAGCCTCGACACCCTTAGTTCCTCTGTGTTCAAGTCGCTCAGTGCTTCTATGTGAATTACTCTCAGGAAACATAGACACACATTCTCTGAGTGTGTCGCTATTTGTCCATCTCTACCTCTGCTTGTATATCTACCCACATGCTTCTGTCTCTGTATGTGTCTCTTTGCATGGACCCTCTTGTCCGTGTCTCCTGCCTACGTCTCTGGGCGATCACTCTGGAACCCCGCAAGGGAAACAAGAACGCGCGCCCGCCCGCTTCAGCTGCTCCCCCCGGCCCCCACCCCCCATGCCTCTGCGCCCCACACAGATCCGGCGTGTGTCTGATCGGCGTTCGTCGCGAGGGCAGCCGCAGCATCCTCCTCAACCCGGGCCCCCACTTCCTGCTGGCGGCCAGCGACACCTGCTTCTACATCCACGGCAGCGGCAGCAGCAGCAGCAGCAGCCGCGAGCCGGTGGCGCTGTCGCCCGCTCGGCAGCAGCCGCAGGGCTCCCCGCCCGGCGCTGCGCTCTCCACGGACTCGAGCAGCGTCTTTGAGCCGGAGCCGGAGCCGGGACGCCTGCCGGTGCACAACTTCATCAGCAGCATGGGCACGGGTGACGCACGGGGCACGGGCCACGCACAGGGCACGGGTGGCGGCCAGGCCACGCTGGGCACGCACGTGCCGTCCACGTCGTTGAGGACGCGCGCCAGTCTGGCGGTCTCCGATCCGCAGCCTGCTGCTGCTGCTGCTGCTGCGATCGGAACTACAAACCAAGCCCGGGGGGCGCGTGCATAACTCACGGATGACACCATCCCAACCACGGCATGTTCGATAAACAGCCAGAAGGAGCTACCACGCGTCTGTAACTTCTCCACAATATAGCAGCCGGCAATTAGAAAGGGACTTCAGTGTTCTACCACATGATGCTGCTGTTACTGATAACGGTGCTGCTACTGCTGTTGATTTTGATGTTGGTGCTGTTGATGATGCTGCTGGTGCTGCTGCTGCTAATGATAATGGTGCTAATGATGCCAATGGCGCAGACTCCGTGGCGATGGAGCTCCACACGCGGGACGCGAGGCCGAGTCGCTCCCGCTCGCTGCCGCTGCCTGGCGAGGCGGAGCACGGAGAGGGCAGCACGGGGCAGCGGGGGGCAGGGCTGCCCCCACTGCTGTTGCCCCGCGACCTGCTTGCCTCCCGGGCCGAGTGGGACGAGGACGAGCCCGTGGGGATCCCCGCGTGAGTGGCAACTTTACAACGTGTACCCAAGTAGGAGGAAGGTCCAAAGTGTACCCAAGTAGGAGGCAAACCTCATCCACTCCCTGGGGGAAGAGTATTCCAAACGATGGGGGGGGGGGGCAGTAGAAACTGCGGGTATTAAAGTCCCGTGACATCACTGTTCATGTTTGACCATGCGTCAATGAGTATATCCATGAATCAGTGATTAGCGAAGCATCGTAGTGAGTAGGTGAATTAATACGTCAGGGAATGAGTGAATGAGTCGATGAATGACTCGCCAGGTGCGTGACCGGTTACCCGCCCACGTCTCCCTACATCGGCTGCTCCCCAACGCTCTGCCACCTCCTGCGCCGGAGATCCCCGCTCTGCTGCCTACGACTCGACGTGGTAACTTCCCTGGCCTCCTCCTCCTCCCGCGTCCAGCTCCCTCTCTTATCGTCTCCTCTCGCTCTCCCTTCTCTCCCCTACTCTGGTAAAAGATGGCATTGTCTTTGAAACTGATTGGCCCACACCAGAGACGGCCTTCGTTATGACCTTGTCTCACCAGTGTGAGACCAGAGAACGCCAAAGGGCGCACAGTGTTAATAGCAGCTACATCAATAATGTGTTCGCATGTTTTGCCACAAGTACGTGTGGTTAATGCAGACTTGATGGCTTGCAAAATGTCTATTTGGTGCTTGAATATCTTAACACCTCCCTGTGTTATTTGCCGACTAATTTCATTTTGATACTGGCAAAAAAGGGTCCCAAAGACGCCTCTTTCCTTTTGCCTCCACTCATCCCCTACTCCCTCCCCACCTCTCCTCCTCCTCTCCTCATCCTGTCCTTTGCCATCTCCTTCCTCTCTCTCTCGCCACCCCTCGCCACCCCCAGGGCTGCGTGCACAAGAGCTGTCGGGACGCCCAGAGCTACCGCTTCAGGAACCGCGTGATCCTGGCGTCGGTGGAGACGGCGGGGCCCGGCCTCTACAACTTCGTGGTGCCGCTGCGCGCGAGCTGCCGGCCACGCGCGGGCCTCCACCCCATTGTCATCCTCCTGGACAACCCGTGAGCAGCGGCCAAACCCCGGCACTCCCGCGCCACGTGACTCGTGGCCCCGACGGCGACGACGACGACGACGATCGTCATCCTCGTTATGCCTCCTCGTGTTTAGGGGTCGCAATTTGAGTTTTTTAGGCAAGGTCGTGAAAATGAATCTGCCCAAGTTTCTCTCCTTAAGATTCCTCCACCACCCGACGCAGCCAGAGGAGTGCAAGTGGTCACGCGGTGCGCGCTTGAACGACGCTCGGTTGAGCTCCCTCGACCCCACAGCCACAACGAGCAGCAGCATGTCGATGGTGGTGTTATAAGTGCTCACGGTGGTGACATGCTTGGTGACCACGGTAATGGTGACGGTGGTGGTGTTGATGATGGTGATGTTTCAGGCCGGACCCCTCGTTCCTCGAGGCCGTAAGCTGCTTCCCCATGGTCTACTACACTCTGGGCTCCATCGACAAGTGAGTGGCCACCGCACGGACCACCGTCCCGTGCCACCACGATCCCTCGCGGTGCGGTACAGTGTAGTGATCATCATGATGGTATTGGTGATGATGGTGGTGGTGATGGTGGTGATGACGGTGGTTGTGATAATGATGGTGGCGGTGATGATGGTCGTGATGATGATGGTGGTGGTAGTGGTGGTGATGACGGTGGTGGTGATAATCATGGTGGCGGTGATGATGGTCGTGATGATGGTGGTGGTAGTGGTGGTGATGGTCGTGATGATGGTGGTGGTAGTGGTGGTGATGGGATGTCTCCGCAGCTTGGACTCGCTGCTACAGAGCGGGGTGACGCACGCCGAGACCGTGGTGGTGGTGGACAAGGAGAGCTCCATGCTGGCCGAGGAGGACTACATGGCGGACGCCAAGACCATCGTCAGCGTGCAGACGATGTTCCGGTGAGAGAAACGTCGGATCCAGTTCTCAAAATGTTGTTCGGGCTTCTCAACATCCCCCTCCTCGGCACATTTGACCACGACGCAACAACTTGATTCGATCAGCTCTGCCGCTGGGTGGTGGAGGGTTCTAGTGAACGCACTGGCATCACACCCTGCATGCCGATCTGGCCCAATCAGAAACTCCCCATGATTCACGATGGTCGTGACAACTTCGGTGTAAAGTTTACTTGCAGAGAAATGCCGTGAGATGAGACTTGTCGTCACTCTAGATTCCACGAGGGGGCCGAGATAATGAGACTATAGGAGAGAACGTATGGGCGGTCAGGGCCACTCGCTCGTGCGGCAAGGTTAAAAGGGTCAAACGATAACACGAAGCCGCGTTCCAGTGTGGGGCATGGCGGGGGGGGGCGAGGGGGAAGGGCTGTGAGCGCTGCTCTGTCTGTGCTTCAGACTGTTCCCCGGGCTGTCCATCATCACGGAGCTCACGCACCCCGCCAACATGCGCTTCATGCAGTTCCGCGCGCAGGACTGCTACTCGCTCGCGCTCTCGCAGCTCGAGAAGGTGCCACACCATCATCACCATGGTTACCGCCATCATTACCATGGTCACCGCCATCATCACCATGGTCACCGCCATCATCACCATGCTCACCGCCATCATCACCACGCTCACCGCCATCATCACCATGGTCACCGCCATCATCACCATGGTCACCGCCATCATCACCATGCTCACCGCCATCATCACCATGGTCACCGCCATCATCACCATGGTCACCGCCATCATCACCATGCTCACCGCCATCATCACCATGGTCACCGCCATCATCACCATGCTCACCGCCATCATCACCATGCTCACCGCCATCATCACCATGCTCACCGCCATCATCACCATGCTCACCGCCATCATCACCATGCTCACCGCCGTCATCACCATGGTCACCACCATCATCACCATGGTCACCGCCATCATCACCATGGTCACCGCCATCATCACCATGCTCACCGCCATCATCACCATGGTCACCGCCATCATCACCATGTACACCGCCATCATCACCACGCTCACCGCCATCATCACCATGGTCACCACCATCACCATGGTCACCGCCATCATCACCATGCTCACCGCCATCATCACCACGCTCACCGCCATCATCACCATGGTCACCGCCATCATCACCATGGTCACCGCCATCATCACCATGCTCACCGCCATCATCACCATGGTCACCGCCATCATCACCATGCTCACCGCCATCATCACCATGCTCACCGCCATCATCACCATGCTCACCGCCATCATCACCACGCTCACCGCCATCATCACCATGGTCACCGCCAAAATCACCATGGTCACCACCATCATCACCATGCTCACCGCCATCATCACCATGGTCACCGCCATCATCACCATGCTCACCGCCATCATCACCATGGTCACCGCGATCATCGTCACGGCCCGCGGCATTACATTATCACCACCGTCATAACCACCACCATCAACAATGTTACCATCATCTTGATATATTTATCACAGCTTCCATCATCAAAGTATAGATAGTAATCATCATCTTCGCCACCACCACGACGACCATCATCATCTTCACAAAGATCTAAAAGCACAGTACCGTGTGAGAGGGTGAGTGTCGCACCGCGTGAGGGTGAGTGTCACACCGTGTGAGGGTGAGTGTCGCACCGTGTGAGGGTGAGTGTCGCACCGTGTGAGGGTGAGTGTCGCACCGTGTGAGGGTGAGTGTCGCACCGTGTGAGGGTGTCGCACCATGTGAGGGTGTGTGTCACACCGTGTGAGGGTGTCGCACCATGTGAGGGTGTGTGTCACACCGTGTGAGGGTGAGTGTCACACCGTGTGAGGGTGAGTGTCACAGCGTGTGAGGGTGTCACACCGTGTGAGGGTGAGTGTCACACTGTGTGAGGGTGAGTGTCACACCGTGTGAGGGTGAGTGTCACACCGTGTGAGGGTGTCGCACCGTGTGAGGGTGAGTGTCACAGCGTGTGAGGCTGAGTGTCGCACCGTGTGAGGGTGAGTGTCACAGCGTGTGAGGGTGAGTGTCACAGCGTGTGAGGGTGAGTGTCACAGCGTGTGAGGGTGTCACACTGTGTGAGGGTGAGTGTCACACCGTGTGAGGGTGAGTGTCGCACCGTGTGAGGGTGAGTGTCGCACCGTGTGAGGGTGAGTGTCACACCGTGTGAGGGTGAGTGTCGCACTGTGTGAGGGTGAGTGTCACACTGTGTGAGGGTGAGTGTCGCACCGTGTGAGGGTGAGTGTCGCACCGTGTGAGGGTGTCGCACCGTGTGAGGGTGAGTGTCACACCGTGTGAGGGTGAGTGTCGCACCGTGTGAGGGTGAGTGTCGCACCGTGTGAGGGTGAGTGTCACACCGTGTGAGGGTGAGTGTCACACCGTGTGAGGGTGAGTGTCACACCGTGTGAGGGTGTCACACCGTGTGAGGGTGAGTGTCACACCGTGTGAGGGTGAGTGTCGCACCGTGTGAGGGTGAGTGTCGCACCGTGTGAGGGTGAGTGTCACACCGTGTGAGGGTGAGTGTCACACCGTGTGAGGGTGAGTGTCACACCGTGTGAGGGTGTCGCACCGTGTGAGGGTGAGTGTCACAGCGTGTGAGGCTGAGTGTCACACCGTGTGAGGGTGAGTGTCACACCGTGTGAGGGTGAGTGTCACACCGTGTGAGGGTGTCACACCGTGTGAGGGTGAGTGTCACACCGTGTGAGGGTGAGTGTCGCACCGTGTGAGGGTGAGTGTCGCACCGTGTGAGGGTGAGTGTCACACCGTGTGAGGGTGAGTGTCACACCGTGTGAGGGTGAGTGTCACACCGTGTGAGGGTGTCGCACCGTGTGAGGGTGAGTGTCACAGCGTGTGAGGCTGAGTGTCGCACCGTGTGAGGGTGAGTGTCACAGCGTGTGAGGGTGAGTGTCACAGCGTGTGAGGGTGAGTGTCACAGCGTGTGAGGGTGTCACACTGTGTGAGGGTGAGTGTCACACCGTGTGAGGGTGAGTGTCACACCGTGTGAGGGTGAGTGTCGCACCGTGTGAGGGTGAGTGTCACACCGTGTGAGGGTGAGTGTCGCACTGTGTGAGGGTGAGTGTCACACTGTGTACAGCGTGTGAGGGTGAGTGTCACAGCGTGTGAAGGTGAGTGTCACACCGTGTGAGGGTGTCGCACCGTGTGAGGGTGAGTGTCACACCGTGTGAGGGTGAGTGTCACAGCGTGTGAGGGTGAGTGTCACAGCGTGTGAGGGTGTCACACTGTGTGAGGGTGAGTGTCACACCGTGTGAGGGTGAGTGTCGCACCGTGTGAGGGTGAGTGTCGCACCGTGTGAGGGTGAGTGTCACACCGTGTGAGGGTGAGTGTCGCACTGTGTGAGGGTGAGTGTCACACTGTGTACAGCGTGTGAGGGTGAGTGTCACAGCGTGTGAGGGTGAGTGTCACACCGTGTGAGGGTGTCGCACCGTGTGAGGGTGAGTGTCACACCGTGTGAGGGTGAGTGTCACACCGTGTGAGGGTGAGTGTCACAGCGTGTGAGGGTGTCACACCATGTGAGGGTGAGTGTCACACCATGTGAGGGTGAGTGTCACACCGTGTGAGGGTGTGTGTCACACCGTGTGAGGGTGAGTGTCACAGCGTGTGAGGGTGAGTGTCACAGCGTGTGAGGGTGTGTGTCACACCGTGTGAGGGTGTCACACCATGTGAGGGTGAGTGTCACACCGTGTGAGGGTGAGTGTCGCACCGTGTGAGGGTGAGTGTCACACCGTGTGAGGGTGAGTGTCGCACCGTGTGAGGGTGAGTGTCACACCGTGTGAGGGTGAGTGACACACCGTGTGAGGGTGAGTGTCACAGCGTGTGAGGGTGAGTGACACACCGTGTGAGGGTGAGTGACACACCGTGTGAGGGTGAGTGTCACAGCGTGTGAGGGTGAGTGTCGCACCGTGTGAGGGTGTCACACCGTGTGAGAGTGAGTGTCACACCGTGTGAGGGTGAGTGTCGCACCGTGTGAGGGTGAGTGTCACACCGTGTGAGGGTGGGTGTCGCACCGTGTGAGGGTGAGTGTCACACCGTGTGACGGTGAGTGTCACAGCGTGTGAGGGTGAGTGTCACAGCGTGTGAGGGTGTCACACGGTGTGAGGGTGAGTGTCACACAGTGTGAGGGTGAGTGTCACACCGTGTGAGGGTGAGTGTCACACCGTGTGAGGGTGAGTGTCGCACCGTGTGAGGGTGAGTGTCACACCGTGTGAGGGTGAGTGTCGCACCGTGTGAGGGTGAGTGTCACACCGTGTGACGGTGAGTGTCACAGCGTGTGAGGGTGAGTGTCAAAGCGTGTGAGGGTGTCACACGGTGTGAGGGTGAGTGTCACACCGTGTGAGGGTGAGTGTCACACCGTGTGAGGGTGAGTGACACACCATGTGAGGGTGAGTGTCACACCGTGTGAGGGTGAGTGTCACACCGTGTGAGGGTGAGTGACACACCATGTGAGGGTGAGTGTCACACCGTGTGAGGGTGAGTGTCGCACCGTGTGAGGGTGAGTGTCGCACCGTGTGAGGGTGAGTGTCACACCGTGTGAGGGTGGGTGTCGCACCGTGTGAGGGTGAGTGTCACACCGTGTGACGGTGAGTGTCACAGCGTGTGAGGGTGTCACACGGTGTGAGGGTGAGTGTCACACCGTGTGAGGGTGAGTGTCACACCGTGTGAGGGTGAGTGACACACCATGTGAGGGTGAGTGTCACACCGTGTGAGGGTGAGTGTCACACCGTGTGAGGGTGAGTGACACACCATGTGAGGGTGAGTGTCACACCGTGTGAGGGTGAGTGTCGCACCGTGTGAGGGTGAGTGTCGCACCGTGTGAGGGTGAGTGTCACACCGTGTGAGGGTGGGTGTCGCACCGTGTGAGGGTGAGTGTCACAGCGTGTGAGGGTGAGTGTCACAGCGTGTGAGGGTGTGTGTCACACCGTGTGTGGGTGTCACACCATGTGAGGGTGAGTGTCACACCGTGTGAGGGTGAGTGTCGCACCGTGTGAGGGTGAGTGTCACACCGTGTGAGGGTGAGTGTCGCACCGTGTGAGGGTGAGTGTCACACCGTGTGAGGGTGAGTGACACACCGTGTGAGGGTGAGTGTCACAGCGTGTGAGGGTGAGTGACACACCGTGTGAGGGTGAGTGACACACCGTGTGAGGGTGAGTGTCACAGCGTGTGAGGGTGAGTGTCGCACCGTGTGAGGGTGTCACACCGTGTGAGGGTGAGTGTCACACCGTGTGAGGGTGAGTGTCGCACCGTGTGAGGGTGAGTGTCACACCGTGTGAGGGTGGGTGTCGCACCGTGTGAGGGTGAGTGTCACACCGTGTGACGGTGAGTGTCACAGCGTGTGAGGGTGAGTGTCACAGCGTGTGAGGGTGTCACACGGTGTGAGGGTGAGTGTCACACCGTGTGAGGGTGAGTGTCACACCGTGTGAGGGTGAGTGTCGCACCGTGTGAGGGTGAGTGTCACACCGTGTGAGGGTGGGTGTCGCACCGTGTGAGGGTGAGTGTCACACCGTGTGACGGTGAGTGTCACAGCGTGTGAGGGTGAGTGTCAAAGCGTGTGAGGGTGTCACACGGTGTGAGGGTGAGTGTCACACAGTGTGAGGGTGAGTGTCACACCGTGTGAGGGTGAGTGTCACACCGTGTGAGGGTGAGTGTCGCACCGTGTGAGGGTGAGTGTCACACCGTGTGAGGGTGAGTGTCGCACCGTGTGAGGGTGAGTGTCACACCGTGTGACGGTGAGTGTCACAGCGTGTGAGGGTGAGTGTCAAAGCGTGTGAGGGTGTCACACGGTGTGAGGGTGAGTGTCACACCGTGTGAGGGTGAGTGTCACACCGTGTGAGGGTGAGTGACACATCATGTGAGGGTGAGTGTCACACCGTGTGAGGGTGAGTGTCACACCGTGTGAGGGTGAGTGACACACCATGTGAGGGTGAGTGTCACACCGTGTGAGGGTGAGTGTCGCACCGTGTGAGGGTGAGTGTCGCACCGTGTGAGGGTGAGTGTCACACCGTGTGAGGGTGGGTGTCGCACCGTGTGAGGGTGAGTGTCACACCGTGTGACGGTGAGTGTCACAGCGTGTGAGGGTGTCACACGGTGTGAGGGTGAGTGTCACACCGTGTGAGGGTGAGTGTCACACCGTGTGAGGGTGAGTGACACACCATGTGAGGGTGAGTGTCACACCGTGTGAGGGTGAGTGTCACACCGTGTGAGGGTGAGTGACACACCATGTGAGGGTGAGTGTCACACCGTGTGAGGGTGAGTGTCGCACCGTGTGAGGGTGAGTGTCGCACCGTGTGAGGGTGAGTGTCACACCGTGTGAGGGTGGGTGTCGCACCGTGTGAGGGTGAGTGTCACACCGTGTGACGGTGAGTGTCACAGCGTGTGAGGGTGAGTGTCAAAGCGTGTGAGGGTGTCACACGGTGTGAGGGTGAGTGTCACACCGTGTGAGGGTGAGTGTCACACCGTGTGAGGGTGAGTGACACACCATGTGAGGGTGAGTGTCACACCGTGTGAGGGTGAGTGTCACACCGTGTGAGGGTGAGTGTCACACCGTGTGAGGGTGAGTGTCACACCGTGTGAGGGTGAGTGACACACCATGTGAGGGTGAGTGTCACACCGTGTGAGGGTGAGTGTCACAGCGTGTGAGGGTGTCACACTGTGTGAGGGTGAGTGTCACACCGTGTGAGGGTGAGTGTCGCACCGTGTGAGGGTGAGTGTCGCACCGTGTGAGGGTGAGTGTCACACCGTGTGAGGGTGAGTGTCACACCGTGTGAGGGTGTCGCACCGTGTGAGGGTGAGTGTCACAGCGTGTGAGGGTGAGTGTCGCACCGTGTGAGGGTGAGTGTCACAGCGTGTGAGGGTGAGTGTCACACCGTGTGAGGGTGTCACACTGTGTGAGGGTGAGTGTCACACCGTGTGAGGGTGAGTGTCACACCGTGTGAGGGTGAGTGTCACAGCGTGTGAGGGTGAGTGTCACACCGTGTGAGGGTGTCACACCGTGTGAGGGTGAGTGTCACACCGTGTGAGGGTGAGTGTCGCACCGTGTGAGGGTGTCACACCGTGTGAGGGTGAGTGACACACCGTGTGAGGGTGAGTGTCGCACCGTGTGAGGGTGAGTGTCGCCCATCCTGCCACCCTGCCCCGCTGTGCCCTCGCCGTTCTCCCCGTGGCCCCGCCGCCAGGAAGAGCGAGAACGCGGCTCCAACCTGGCCTTCATGTTCCGCCTGCCCTTCGCAGCGGGCCGCGTGTTCAGCGTCAGCATGCTCGACACGCTGCTCTACCAGGTGAGGACCACGCAGGTGAGGACCACGCAGGTGAGGACCACGCAGGTGAGGACCACGCAGGAGAGGCTGCGTGATCGCTCTTGGATTGTAAACCCTTCATCCTCCCCCCCATGTCCCTCGTGCGTAGTCGTTCGTCAAGGACTACATGATCCCCATCGTGCGACTTCTCCTGGGTCTGGACACGACGCCCGGATCGGGGTTCCTGTGCGCAGTGAGTGTGGGTCGGTAGGGCGGGGGTGGGTGGTGTGTGGGTGGGTGTGCGTGGTGGTGGGTGGGTGGGTGTGCGTGGTGGTGGGTGGGGGGTGGGTGGGTGTGCGTGGTGGTGGGTGGGGGGTGGGTGGGTGTGCGTGGGGGTGGGTGGGGTGTGGGTGGGTGTGCGTGGCGGTGGGTGGGGTGTAGGTGGGTGTGCGTGGCGGTGGGTGGGGTGTGGGTGGGTGTGCGTGGTCACGGGGAATGAGTGGTGACGGTTATGGGGAGTCAGTCAGCAGGTGGTTGCCCCAGCCGTGAGCGGCTACAGTAAGGTAGTAAGCAAGCAAGTGGTGGTGACAGCGAGTTCGTGAGTGAGACGCCACAACGATCGTAGCTCAGCGAGCGGACGAGCGAGCGGGCTAGCGAAAGGGTGAGCGGTCACCTCTTGCCGGGCCCCCTGTGCCCCCCCCCTCACCCCAGATGCACGTGACAGAGCGGGAGCTGCGGTGGTTCGGGACGTACGGACGCCTCCACCGGTGCCTCTGCTCTTCCGGCGGCGACGTCCCCATCGGCATCTACCGGACGGAGACGCACGGGGCCGCCCCGAGTGACGTGAGGCTCTCCTCACTCCTCATCGCCATCATCAGCGGCATTGTTGTGTAGGGTTTGTGTGAGGTGGTGTGATGTCACGGGTCGCGTGAACTATTCACCTCTGACACTGAACCCTCTTTGTCTTTCGCAGTCCCAGGAGTTGACTTCTCAGGTGAGTACATCCCTGCCGCCCCGACATCCTTGTGGTGCTGACAATATTGGTGGTGGTGGTGGTAACATTAGTGGTGGTGGTTGCGATGATGGTGGTGGTAGCGGTGATAAAAACAACCCCCATCTCGCTGGTGGCAGTCGACCCCCCTCCGTTATGCGGTTGTGAGCAGTGCCGGGGAGAGGGGGGGCTGATAGACGGTTCGCCTCGTGACTCTCACGGCCACCGTAATGGCCAACGGGGGCTCTGGACGTGTGCGAGGGGCTGGTCACCCCTCCACCTTCAACTCAATCACCGAAGCTACAATAAGCTTTCTTCCCGAGGACCTGGGGAGCGAGACATCCATGACGATCTTCTTCCCAAACTCCAGGAGACTGGATCCCTCCACAAAAGAGCAATAAACCACTGCTTCTGGCCGTGCGGTGAACCGAACGCACGCGTGGGAAGGGGTAACAATATACAGTATCTCCTACTCACGGAAACGGATTGAGATGAGTCCACTTGCTGTACTTCCTTCTTGTGGTGAGTCCGGGTATGGCTCCTCCTCGACGCCCACGGGAAGGGAGTTTCACAATATTTGAGCGGTGATCCACCAACCCTCTCCTGCACGGTGCCACATCACAGGCCACGTGCGTAGCCACCACCTGCCCAGCGGTGGTGGCTCAACAGGGCGCGCGCCTCGCCTGGCGCCGGCCAGGTTGGGACGTACACAACCGGAATGCCCAGTAAACCGAATTGGGAACGTAGAATGCCCAGAGTCTATGACTCTCAACGGGCCCCCCTCCCCCTTCAAATTCCCTGGGCAATCCCGTCGCCGCCGTTCATTTGAGTTCTCCGGAGCGGGCGGTCGAGGTTGGGGCGATTGTTCGACCGGCGGCGTCGCGCGAAGCGACGAACTTTGGCCGGCGCGTGACCGAGGCCCCCACGGTCCCCAGTCCCAGGTCTCCATCAGCGTCGAGGACTGCGAGGAGGCGGCACCGCCGCTCCACCGCGACTCGACGGGCAGCGAGCCGGCCGAGCCGCCGCTGCCGCGCCGCAAGAGCATGCAGTGGGCCCGGCGTCTGAGCCGCAATCGCGGCAGCGGCGGCGGCGGCGCTCGGCACGCGGGCCGCGCCGCGGAGGGCACCCACCGGCGGCGCCTGTCGCTGTTCCGCCGCTCGGAGCGCCAGGAGCTGGCGGAGCTCGTCAAGGGGCGGCTCCGTCACCTGGGGCTGTCGGCCGAAGGATTCGGTGCGTGCCGGCAGGGGCAGCTCCTCCCACATTGGGCGGGGTAGGGCGGTGAAGGACAGCTGTTTGTATGGGAGGTCACTCTACCGGTGATGCACCGCTTAGAGGGAGAGTGTACCTGGGGAGATTAAGGGTGGAGGGGGCAGGGTGGTGGGCAGGGTGGTGGGCGGGGGGCAGGTCCCACCTCGGCCCACCCCGGCACCCCCTCTAGCGCCGGTGCTGGGTTGAGGAGGGTTGGAGGAGATGAATGGGGCAGAGAAGGAGGGCAAGAGGGGAGGAGAGGGAGGATAGAAGAGTCAGGGGCGGGGTGGAGTCAGGGTAACGAGCGGAGCCGCGGGCGTTGTGCGGGGCCAAGATGAGGAGGAGGAGACGACACCGGCAGAAATGCGGCTCTTGTCGAGCGGACGACGAGGAGGGAACGGGGCGCTCCAGGACGAGCTGCCAATGGATGGAAGGGAAATTGAGAATGGATTGGGGATATGAAGGACTGGAATGGCAAAAGTTGTGTTGAACTTCGGACTCGGAGAAGCATCGATCCCGACATCCAGAAGGCAGTGAGCAATCATGATCACGAGCATCCTGTGGCAACATAAAACAGAACAGGAGACGATGCGCCTCCTCCTCCCCGTGTCTGTCCCTCCACGTCACCAACACGAGTATTCTTCACACATCCCATCAGCCACACGGTCTTCTGGGAGCGCATGTCATCAGCAGCATTGGTTCAACACAAGCAAAACTCAGGACCAGTTTGGACAATACAGTGTCTCATCAGCAGTCAGGCTTCATTGAACCAATGCTGGTGAACTGCCAGATGTTTATAGGGACATCTCACAGAGAGGGGCCCTTCCCTTCAAGCACGTGGCGGTTCGCCAGAGTCGATTCCAGCCAAAGTACTGCAATGTTTTATGTGAAGAGAGATTTGTCAATCGGGCGCCTTGTCTGCACGTTTATTTTAGAACGCGCAGATTTCTAATCCGTTCGAGGATAATCGAGTCCACACAGCCCCTGTGACATCAACTAAGTTTGCATTTGCGATTAACCCTGGGGGAAGAGGCAGCTATGATGATGTGGTGTCGTGGCTGTGGTACAGGGATGTGTGTGTGTATGACGATGGGTGTGTGTGTGATGATCTGGAGTGTGTGTGTAATTGTAATGGGCGTGTGTGATGGTGATTGGTGTATGCGTGTGATGGTGATGGCCGTGTGTGCCCTGCAGATGAACTGAGTGACCACCAGAACACGTTCTCCTACGTCATCATCAACCCAGGCCCCGACACCCCGCTAGCGTTGCACGACATCGTGTGAGTTCACTCACACCTGTGACACCGCACTCGCACCTGTGACACTGCACTCACACCTGTGACACCACACTCACACCTGTGACACCACACTCACACCTGTGACACCACACTCACACCTGTGACACCGCACTCACACCTGTGACACCGCACTCACACCTGTGACACCACACTCACACCTGTGACACCACACTCACACCTGTGACACCACACTCACACCTGTGACACCGCACCCACACCTGTGACACCGCACTCACACCTGTGACACCACACTCACACCTGTGACACCACACTCACACCTGTGACACCACACTCACACCTGTGACACCGCACTCACACCTGTGACACCACACTCACACCTGTGACACCGCACTCACACCTGTGACACCGCACTCACACCTGTGACACCACACTCACACCTGTGACACCGCACTCACACCTGTGACACCACACTCACACCTGTGACACCGCACTCACACCTGTGACACCACACTCACACCTGTGACACCGCACTCACACCTGTGACACCGCACTCACACCTGTGACACCGCACTCACACCTGTGACACCGCACTCACACCTGTGACACCAAACTCACACCTGTGACACCGCACTCACACCTGTGACACCACACTCACACCTGTGACACCGCACTCACACCTGCGCACTGTCTCCTGTCACCCTGATATGCCCCCCCTCCCCGATACCGACAGGTACCTGATCCGCCCGGATCCCCTGGCCAGCACCTTCTGCACCACCCAGACACCCTGCACCTCACCACCGCCCTGCACCTCACCACCGCCCTGCACCTCACCACCGCCCTGCACCTCACCACCGCCCTTCACCTCACCACCGCCCTGCACCGCACCAGCGCCCTGCACCTCACCACCGCCCTTCACCTCACCACCGCCCTGCACCTCACCAGCACTCTGGGCCTCACTGTTACCCTGCACCACCCAGACTCCCTGCGCCTTGCCACCACCCCGCACCACCCACATGCCCTGCACACCCAAGACGCCCTGCACCACCCAGGCACCCAGCGCCGCCCAACCTCCGAGCAGGAGCAGCGAGTCCGAGCTGCCGGAGCCGCACGACGAGACGCGTCTCTGACCGCGCGTCGTGACCGCCCCTCGCCACCCAGCGGGGAACTCCTCCCGCAAGGGCGGAGCCGCGTCCCTCGGGTTTCATAAAATCTCTCGAGGGTGCAGGCAGTGCAACTGCCCCGTGGTCCACGGGTCGAAGGGGCCCAAGCCACCACACGAGGAGGGGACATTGGAGAGAGGGGGGGCATTTAATTTATTGCACCAGGGCCCCCCACGCCGTGGTCGCGAAGCCACCCTCCTCTCCCGCGTGCTGCCCCCCCCCATCCACTGCCCCCCCTCCCCCGCGTGCTGCCCCCCCCCATCCACTACCCCCCCCCCGCCATCCACTACCCTCCCCTCCCCCGCGTGCTGCCCCCCCCCATCCACTACCCCCCCCCCCGCGTGCTGCCCACCCCCCATCCACTACCCCCCCATCCACTACCCCCCCCCATCTACTACCCTCCCCCGCGTGTTGCCCCCCTCCAGCCAAACCTTTACCCCGCCCCGGCGGAAGGCGCGGGCCGTTTCAGTTTCATTTATTTGGTATAGCCCTGTGAGCCATTCGGCTCTTGAATCGGGTGCAACCGCAACAAACAAAAAACATGAACAAGAAAACATCTTAAAGTGACTATGTTACTGTGCAAATATAAAATCCAGGAAAAAAACAGCAAAATATTCCTGAAAAAGTACCATACACCAACGCTGTGTGCAAAAATCGCAGTGGGATGCAAGTCAAACAACAACAACCACAAGACAACTTAGATTAAGGCCATCAGTCTAACTCCGTATTACAACAATCAAACATGGCCAAACCAAAAAACGTTTTCGACATCACCAAAATAAAGCCATAAAAGCAATGTAACAGTGATCATTGGGACTGTGACCGAATTTTTAACAATAAACTACATAAACAACCTGTAACACCAAACCCTAGAGCCATAGCTGGCTGCATGAGTCACTCCACAACAACAGGAGCATCAGTCGGAGTATCAAATTTTTCAATGCACCTTTAAGATCAGCCCACTAAATCAAAATACAGATAATACTTTGCAGCGATCATCCGGAGCGAAACATTTTATTTTATTTTAGGCCACTAAATAGCAGTGGCAGCTAAGGGTGTACACCTCCTCTACCTATGAAAATCTCATAGGTAATGATTCAAGTTGCAGTTTATTGGCAATAGCATTCCAGACCCTGGGGGCATCAATAGCAAAGACCCTTCCTCCAGTTTTTGTACGGCAATAGGGAATGTGAAGCTGGTAAATGAGCGAAGACCTGAGGTCAAATTTGTTCTTTGAAACAGAGAGGAGATCCAGCAGCAGGTAGTCTGCGGATTTTTTTGTAAGGCCGAACAAAGCAGACGCGCGACTTCTGCAGATGGCAGCGACTTGGGAGCACAACAACTCCCAGTGCCACAAGTTGCGGAGGAGCGGAGGGACTGGGTTAGGGTCCTGGTGGGATCACCGCGGCTCCAGAATGGCGCGGCAGGCAGCACCGCTGTCGGGTTCGTGGCTGCACGTGGTCCGAGTTGGTCACGTGTCGCTTGCCCAGGCAGCTGGGTGTACCAGCTGCCTGGGCAAGCGCCAGGAGGAGCGCCAAGCAAGGCCATGTTCGTTGAGCGCGACTTTCGACGTTGCCACCTTTCCCGTAACGTCTTGTTCACTGGATGTTCATTCAACTGATGTGAATCAGTTCATGTGACTCACGTTACTCATGTGACTTGTTAGTTAACTGTGTTGGCGTGACCTTAGAAATTAAACGTGACAATGTTCGTTGTTATGTAAGCGCCACGTGCATACCTTGCTAATTTAGTGTCCATGTGACCGTCCCGGTAATTAGGTGTTCATGTTCCAGTCCGGCTAATTTAGTTGACGTGACTGACTAAATGTTGACGTGACCGTTATTAATTTCGTGTTCACGTGAATGGCTCATTGTTTACGTAATTGCCCAGCTAATTACACGTTTACGTGACCGGCATGTAAATTGTTCAGGGGGCCGTCGTGGTAATTCGGTGTTCACGTGACCACCATGGTAAGTGTTCACGTGCCTTTGGCAATTAAATGTTCAATATGATCCTGTGGCTAAGTTTTCACGTGACTGCCCGGCTAAATAAGTGTTCACGAGACCGTGCTGAGCAGGCAGCTCTGTTGATGCACATGCACACCCCGTTACACACACACTACACACACTCATATACACCCCGTTACACACACTCATACACTGTTACACACACACTACACACACTCAAACACCCCGTTACACACACTCATACACTGTTACACACACACTACACACACTCATACACCCCGTTACACACACTCATACACTGTTACACACACACTACACACACACACTCATACACCCCGTTACACACACTCATACACCCCGTTACACACACTCATACACCCTGTTACACTACACACACTCATATGCACCCCATTCCACACACACTCATACACCCTGTTACTCACACACTACACACGCTCATATACCCTGTTACACACACTACACACACTCATACACCCCATTCCACACACACTATGCAGACTCATATACCCCGTTACACACACTCATATACACCCTGTTACACTACACACACTTAATTACACCCCATTCCACACAAACTCATACACCCCGTTAAACGCACTCACACACTCACACACCCCGTTGCTCACACTCATAAGATAAAGATCCGCCATGTAGCCTTAACAGACTGTAGGGGCAAGTGCTGTTAGCGAGCACCTATGAAGGCTGTAACGGTACACGAGGGGGTGGGTGACCACTAACCTTGAGGCCACGTGAAGTGGCCCACGTGAAGTTTCGAACGCCCGCTGGCAGGAGGTCACGGGGCAGACCCAGGTGCCACGGGTCGACTGACTGAGATGACTGGCTGATGCACCACCTGCGCCCCCTACTGTGCCAACCTGCTGTGCTTTATCCACCCGGCACTCCGCTCGTTGTTGTGAGCATCGCTTCTCCGCCCTCCGTTGTTGTTGGAGGGCGACTGCCTCCAACTGCCTAGTAGTGTCCTTAACGAGCCTCATCCACAGAGGCCGATCTTGACACCGCTGGTACCAGTCATCGGCAAGTCCACTCAGCTCCACGTCCTCCTGTACCACATCACTCCATCTCTTCTCTAGTCCGTGCCGCGCCCGTTTAGCCCCCTCGATCCGGCCGAACAAAAGCTGTTTCGGCATGCGGTGGCTGGGCATGCGGGCTACATGACCCAGCCAACGCAGCCTTGCCTGCCGGAGGAGCTCACCGATGGGACCTTGCCCAGATCTTTCAAGGATTTGTGAGCTCCTCACACAATCCAGCCTGGTTAAACCCAGGATGGATCGTAGGCAAGCTAGCCTAAATGTTTCTAACCGGCGAAGATGTACCATTAAGGGGTCCACGTTTCAGAAGCGTAGAGAAGGAAGGGAATGACCGTGGCCGAGAAGACCTAAAGCTTAGTGAGGAGCGACAGACCAGGTAGCTTCCACACAGCGTTACGCAACCGATGAAAAGATATTGCCGCTCGACTGATTTGGAGTGAGACCTCTGCTGTTAAACTGGAGCCGGTCATAAGCACACTGCCCAGGTATGGGAAACTCTCCACTCTCTCCACAACTGCCCCATCACCGATTGGGAGTTGTGGGGGTGGAGTGTCCGATGGTACAAAATACCCAGGCAGGTGCTTAGTTTTGGTGGGGCTGAAGGTAAGGCCGCATCTCTTAGTGGCACCCTCCAGTCTCAGCAGCAGCATCTCCAATTCCTCCTCTGGATGAGCAGCTATTACCAAATAATCGGCATACATAGCGTGGTTGAGCAATAGGGAGCCATCCCTTGACCGCACCCGGGCATCGATCAGCCTCCCATTATATCTATACCAAATGGAGATTCCCCCGGTACAGCTATTGAAGGCTTCACGAACTACGTGGTCAAAATAGATCTTAAATAATGTGGGAGCCAGAGGACATCCTTGTCACACCGCAAGGTGTACAGGGAATGGCTCTGACTCCCGGCCACGTAGTTTTACCCGGGCCCGCTCACCATCATGAAGGTCCTTAATGATCGTGAGCAGGGGGTCAGGGACTCCAAAAGCACGAAGAACAACTCAAAGCCCAGGCCTACTGATGGCATCATAGGCCTTGACCAGGTGAATAAAGCAGAGATGTAGGTCTTGCTGAAATTCCCTACACCTCTGCTGTAGCAGACAGACAGAAAATATGGCATCTGTGCAGGACCGCCCTTTCATGAAACCGCATTGGGGCTCTGCAAGCCTCTCCTCAGCGTGCCTGGCAAGGCGATGTTGAATAATCCTTGCCAGGACCTTTCCCGGCACACCGAGGAGTGAGATGCCCCTGTAGTTGTTACAATCTGTGTGGTCCCCCTTCTTAAAGAGGGGGACCACCAGAGCATCATTCCAATCCTGCGGAACCCGTCCAGTGGTCCAGACTGTTGTTATGATGTCATATAGGGCAGTCTGTGCACAAACGCCACCCTCCCTCAGCATTTCGCTTGGGTGATCATCTCTACCTGGTGCCTTTCCTGGTCTCAGACTCTGGATCACCTTCAGTACTTCCTCAACAGATGGCACCTCAGCCAGCCACTCAAAGGGGGTGACTTCTTCCAATATTTGAGGCACTGCAGCCTCAGCAGGGTCATCCCCACTTTGTGCCACGTTGTTTTCCTCGCTGAGGGATTTCCCTCCCCCAGGACCTCACAGAAATGCGCAGCAAATCTGCAAACCTGTTCCTGGGGGTCAGGGATTGGATCACCGTTTTTTCCCCTAATGATGGTAATAGGTGTGGTGCTGCAGGTTACTTTTTTGATGGAGTTAAAAAGAGAATTGTGATCGCGGGCCACTGAGGCAGACTCCATCTCCTCAGTAACCCGCGACCACCACCCATCCTTGCAGCGCCTCACGGCTCTCCGAACCTCCAAGCGAAGGCTGCGGTAAGCCTCCTCATTCTCTGACGTGGGATTCTGTAGCCGATGACAGTGGGCCTGTCGCTTTTTCCCAACCATCCTGAACACCTCCTCTGTCAGCCAGGGTGTCTCTGGGGCGGTCTGGACCGCGTACCCAAAGCAGCCATTGCAGCTGCATGCTTCACAGTCCTAAACCTCGCCCATTTACCCTCGACATCAGGAGGAGTGGCGGACGATGCCAACCCCAGCTGCAAGCGATGATGAAATTCTCGCTTGCAACTTTCATCAGATAACTCAGACCAGGCCACTTTAGTTTGGAATGATGAACGCCGTGTATGTTCTGTTTTTTTGTGCATTTATGTGCGCGCGCGCGTGTGTGACGTGTGTGTGTGTGTGTTACGCGTGTTGCTGTT